AACAGTATTTTTCACTTTATGTTTCTGTGCGGGAGCAAACTGTTGAAATCTTTACTTAATGTATGCTAAACTGATCTTCTGTATATAAAGAGAATCAAAAATGAATCTTGACATGAATGGAAGGGGATAGGGAGTGGATAAGGGGAGGGTTGCGGGTTGGAGGGACGTTATGGGGGGGAGTCATTGTAATCAATATTCTGTACTTTGGAAATTTATATTCATTAAATAAAAGTTAAAAAAATCATGTTGGTTATTCCAGATCTTTTGCTTACCCATAAAACTCTTGGAAACAGTTATTAATTTCTACCCCCCCCCAAAAAAAAAACCCTACAGGAATTTTGAATGGCATGGCATTGAATCTATAGGTTAATTTGGGAACTGGCATCTTCTTCATACACTTTAACTGCATCCCGCATAATTGAGTATGTTGTGTGTTCATTCTCATTTGGTTCTGTTTTCATATTTCCTCTGGGATCTTCTCTCTGGATTATTCTGAAGTTTATTGTCAGATTTCCAAATATCCGGATACTTCTGTTGTCTGTTGGTCACTGATCCCCCATTTGATCATATTATGTTCATAAAATATACTCCATCACTCAATCCTTTTACATTTTTGAGGTTTGTTTTATAATCCAGATTATGGGGAATGTTCCATGGATACTTGAAAATCAAAAGTGTATTCTACTACTGTCAGCTTGTGTGTTCTCTACATAGTTCAGTTAAATTCTGTTCATAGTTCACCCTGTATCCTTGCTGATTTGGGGACCAATAGTCCTGTCAGTCACTAACAGTGGGTTTTTGAAAGCCTCAACTATAATTCTGAAGTTCACTTTGTCCCCTTGCAACTCTATCAGTTTTTTGTTTCTTTTTTTTTCAGGTTATGTGTTTGGCATATTTATTTTCAGCATCATGATGTCTTTCTGGTAGCTTGATCTTTTTGTCATTATGTAGTATCTCCCTCTGACTCTGACAATTTTCTTGGTTCTGAAGCATTTTTTATCTGCTATAAACACAGCCACTCCTGCTTTTTTGATGAATAGTTGCATGGCCTATCTTTCCTTAACCTTTTATTTTCAATCTACCTGTATCACGTTGAAGTGAGTTTCTCAGAGACAACATATTGTTGGATCATTTTTTACTCCAAATTGCCAATTTTTGATTCAGTTGGCAACTTATATCATCTGCATTTAATAAAATTGTTGATATATTAGGGCTTAGGTCAATCATTTTGTTATTTTTTCTATGTGTGTATGTTTCTTCTGTTTCTCGGTGCTCTGCATCTTAACTTCCTGGCGGTTACTTGGACAATTTTCACAATTCCTATTGATTTGTTTATATTATGTTTTAAAAAGTTTCACCCAGGTATCCCAAGTGGGTGGCAGGGATCCAGGTACAACAGCACTTACCCACAACCTTCCTAGGCGTATTAGCAGGAAGCTGGATCAGAAGCAGAGTAGTCAACTGGCACTTTAACAGTTAAAGGGATACAGGTGATCTAAGCTGTGGCTTAGCCCACTGTGCCACAACACCTGCCCCCTACAGTACTTTTGAACATACTGCTTTGTATAGTTTTCTTAGTAATTGCTTTAGAAGTTATGCTATATATGTATATATATAAATATATATGTAATTTATCACAGTCTCCTTGCACCACTGTTTTGCCACTTCAAGTGTAAGAAAATGAAGTTCTTAACCTCTCCAAATTTAAAATTCAATTATCCTTAGTATTTCTTGTATGTACACAGAGAACCACATCTGAGAATGTGTTGTAAAATGACAGTGATAGACAATTATATTTACTCCTGTTTTTGCCGATTTTGGTGTTGTTTTCTGAAGTTCCAAGCCTTCTTCTTTTATCATTTAAGCATTTCCTTCTGTTCTTTAAGGGTTGGTTTTCTAGTAACAAACCCTTTTTGCCTTTTTATTTATCTTTTTCTTTTTCTTTTTTTTTCTTTTTCTTTTTTTTTTTTTTTTTTTTTTTTGACAGGCAGAGTTAGAGAGAGACAGAGAGAAAGGTCTTCCTTTTTCCGTTGGTTCACCCCCCAAGTGGCCGCTATGGCCAGCGTGTTGCAGCCGATCCAAAGCCAGGAACCAGGTGTTTCCTCCTGGTCTCCCATGCGGGTGCAGGTCCCAAGGACATGGGCTATCCTCCACTGCCTTCCCGGGCCACAGCAGAGAGTTGGACTGGAAGAGGAGCAACGAGGACAGAATCTGGCACCCCAACCAGGACTAGAACCCGGGTGCAGTTGCCACAGGTGGAGAATTAGCCTAGTGAGCCAAAGTGCAGGCCCCCTTTTTTTCTTCTTTCTTTTTTTTCTTTCTTTTTTTTTCTTTTTTTGACAGGCAGAGTGGACAGTGAGAGAGAGAGACAGAGAGAAAGGTCTTCCTTTGCCGTTGGGTCACCCTCCAATGGCCACCGCGGCCGACGCGCCACGCTGATCCGATGGCAGGAGCCAGGTACTTATCCTGGTCTCCCATGAGGTGAAGGGCCCAAATACTTGGGCCATCCTCCACTGCACTTCCCTGGCCACAGCAGAGAGCTGGCCTGGATGAGGGGCAACTGGGAACAGAATCCGGCGCCCCGACCGGGACTAGAACCCGGTGTGTCGGTGCCGCAAGGCAGAGGATTAGCCTAGTGAGCCGCGGCGCCGGCCCCCCTTTTTTCTTTATCTTTATTTTCCCATGATTCCTGAAGGATATTTTTAGTTCACTGTTGATAGTTCTTTCCTTACCACACTAGAACATGTTTTGCCTCTTCTTCTAACCCTCCATGGTTTTAGAAGAGAAATCCAGAGTATTCACTTGGGTGTTCCTTTATAAATATGCGATCTTTACTCTGGTTGCTTTCAAAATTTTTTCTTTGGCTTCAGTTTTCAGAAGCTTAATTAATGACGTTTCTTGACATGGATGACTTTGGTTTATCCTGCTTGAAACTATCCAGCCTCTTGAAGCTTTGACCAAATTTGGGAATTTTTCAGGTTTAATTTCTCTTTAGATTTTTATATTATTTGAGAGACAGAGGAGGAAAGGGAGGGAGAGAAACCTCCCATCTGTCGGTCTACTCCCCAAATGCCCGCAACAGCTGAAGCTGGGAGCCCGGAAATCACTCTAGATCTCCCACTTGAGTGGCAGGAATCCACCTACTTGAGCTCCCCAGGCTCTGCATAGGCTGGAAGCTGGTATCAGGAGCTGAGGCGCCCGCGCCTCGCCCCGCCCCATCCCTCCACCCAGCCCCGCTTCCTCTCCGCCCCCTCTGTTTCCCGAGCCTATCAGAGTGCGGAGGAGGTGGGGATGATCTACATATTCATGAGGCCGCCAGCTGACCCACAGCCAGAACTTGCTTTCCTCTTCAGAACCTAGGCGATTGTGACATCAGGAGTGACGTCTGAAGTTATCCTTAAAGGCGCAGTACCCTCCCTGACCCCGAGATGGCTTTGCCGCCCTGCGTGAAATCCTAGCAGGCGCACACTGACTGTCAAGGTGTTCAGAACCGGGGGTCTCGGACTGGTCAGGATGGAGCCCAGGCCCTCAGCCCGCCCCCGGGGACAAGCGCTGATCTCTGCCCGTCACAGCAACGGGGCTTCTGTCCGGGGCCCCTCTGGTTCCGGATCAGCTCCAGGTCAAGCCCACCACCATGTCCCGTCGATAGGCTGCCACACTTGGTCCGGAGCGCGCCCCTTGTCCCCTCCCCTGGGCGCGCACCTGCCCGGCCCCGCCTGTGCTCCCCGCGGTAGCCGGCAGAGGGAGCGTGAGCGTCCGAGTCCGGCCCTGTCTGCCAGGGAGCGGGGACAAACATACCATTAACCAAAACGTCTCCCCGCGGGGGACACGAGGGCGAGGGAGTCGTGCCGGCTTCCATGCGTGGTATCCGGGCCCGGAGGGGGCCCTCCAGGCAGGGTTCACGGCCATGTAAACAGGGCTGCGTGGAAGTCGCCCAGCGTCCGCCTCCTCAAGCGCAGGACACAGGGTCCACGCTGGTCCTGCTGGGACACGGAGCTCAGTGCAGGAACGGGGCCGCCACTGCCGCGCGAGTCTGAGTGGGAGAACGAGTGCATGATCACGGCCCAGCCCGCCGGGCGGAGGTTCCTTTAGGGCCATTGTACAGACAGGCAAGCTGAGGCTGGAGGAGGGGGAGGGTGGGGAGGGTGGGCCCGGCTGAGGCTGAGCAGGGCCGGCTGCGGGGCTGAGCCGGGGAGAGAGAGGCCGGCAGCTGGGCCCTGGCCACACCGGCTCCAGCCCACGACGCCTGTGTTCCAAGGAAGCCAACCCCGCACATCGCCACCTGCGCTGCCCTCCCCTGAGAGGCCCTCTGATGGCCGCGGGGTGGGGATGAGCCCCTGGCCCCTGATGCGCACCTGCCCCTTCTCTGCCCCCACTGCGCACCTGCCCCCGCCCCGTCCGGCCGTGGTCACCCCCGAACTCCCTGCGGGCTCCCGGTCCGGGTCCGGGTGGGGCTCTGGTTGGAAGGGGAATGGAGTCCCGGCGGAGCGCCCCCCCCCCCCCCGCGCGCCTCCCAGAAGTTTCTCTCTGGCCTCCACCGTCCACGTGTCCGCAGCTTCTGGGGTCTGTAGCTGGGAATTGTTGGCCGTGATCTGATTTTTTTAAAAAAGAGATTGATTCGGAAGTGGGAGTTGAGAGAGAGAGAGAGAAAGATCTTCCATCCGCTGATTCACTCCCCAGCTGTCCGCAGCTGCCCCGATCAGGAGCCAGGGTCCAGGAGCTTCTCCCGGGTCTCCCACGCGGGTGCAGGGGCCCAAGGACCTGGGCCATCTTCCACTGCTTTCCCAGGCCACAGCAGGGAGCTGGATTTGAAGAGGAGCCGCCCGACTCGAACCCGCGCCCATGTGGGATGCACCCGGCGCCGTCTTCTCTTTAATCAAACCTCCGCCCGCCCTGCGCTCTGCTCTGGGCCGTTCGGTCCGGGCGCCATTAGAACCCCGGGCCCTGAGCGTAGTCCTGGGGGCTCCAGCCCGGTTCCTGGATTCCGCCCCTCCAGGGCTTCAGGCAGCAGTGTGGTCCGCCCGCCTCCCTGACAGGCACTGCTCGCGGTCTCCCCGGGGAGCGTGCGGGAGCCCCCACGCCAGGGAATGCTTGGCGCGGCGCGGGCGACGCCCCGGGCCTGGGTCCTCGCCCTGCCCGGCCTGGCCGCTGGGCCTCGGCCTCCGCGGGTGGAAATGCGCCGGGGTGGGGGGCTCCGGGTGAGAGGGGACGGCCGCGGCCTCCGCCCTTCTCCCCTGCTCTCCCACACACCGCGTCCGCTTCCCGCCTCGGCCCTGCCACCCCGGGACCCGCACAGCCCTGGGGTCGTTATCCGTGGCGACCAGGAGGTTAGGAGGCAAATGATGGCGCGGGGCGCGGCCTCCGCAATGAGACCCACACGTGCCGCGTCCGCGCTGTCCCGGGCACCAGCGCTCTGCTTCCCGCCTCGGCCCTGCCTCCCCAGGACCGGCACAGCCCTGGGGGACGCACAGCCCTGGGGTCCTCATCCGAGGAGACCACAAGGCTCGGAGGCAAATGAAGGCGCGGGGCGCGGCCTCCGCAACGAGTCCAGCACACGCTGGGTCCGCGCTGTCCCGGGCACGAGCGCCTCGCTGGGCTTTTCCTCGCCAGGGCCGAGTGCGGTCCAGGTGCGGGGGCCAGGTGCGGACCGGGCACTGCCTCCTGGGCACCCCCGGCCGGCTCTGGAGCTCGCGTGGGAGCTCCCAGACCTGAGGGAGGAAGCGCCCGTCCTGGGGGAGATGCGACGCGGGGTGGGCACTGGAGGAGGGGGGCGCCATCCGGCTCCCAGCACCCCCCAGCCCCGTGGCAGCCCCGCTGCCCAAAGCAGAGACAGCCAAGGCCGCTGCAGAGCCCCCAGGGTCCCCCGAGGTCCTGCCCTGCAGGCAGGGCACACCCTTGGCGCCCCATGCATACACTGCCGCCCCAGCGCCCGCAGCCCGGGGTCCTGGCCCCTCCTCCCTGCACGGAGTGCGCCCCCTACCCTGGCCCTGGGCCTCGGCCTCCAGGAAAGGGCCGTGGGAGGTGGTGGGAGGGGTCCGGCGGCTCCACGGGCCCTGCACGCCCGGCCAGGCACAGGAGCTGGCAAGCGGGCAGCTGGGCTGGGAGCAGCCGCTCCTCCCGGGGGGCGGGGGCGGGGGCGAGGGGCTGCTCCCCATCAGAGCCAAGGGCGCTGCTGCAGCCTGGTGCCATGGGTGGCCACTCGCTGACCAGCCAGAGCTCCCATCGCAGCCGCCCCCTCCATCTCTCTCTCCCTCTCCCCCTCCAGCTCCCCCTCCAGCCCGCGACTGGGTGGGGGTAGGGTCGGCCGCGCGCCCTGCACCAGCCTAGAGGTGTGGGGCGCCCCGGTGCCCAGCAAGGCTGGCGAGGCCGCGGTGAAATGGCAGCTGTGCTATGACACCACGGCCAAAATGAGGTGGATGGTGATTGGGGCCGGGCCCACGTGGGCCGGCGTTGTGGCCCTGGGGCCCTGTGGCCGGCTCAGCTGGGCGTCTGAGGCACGGGGGGGGGGGATGGCTGTGGGCAGGCGGCCCCCGGGGACTCCAGGCAGAGCTGGGGGCAACCGCGTGGGGCAGGGCTAGGGCAGCTCCACTGATCTTGGGCACCCTTCCGGAAGCTTCTAGGGGGCCAGGCCATGGCCCTTGGGGCTGGGACCGGGCCCTGGAAGAGGGAAAGATTCCGGGACGGGCTGGGGGCCGTGGGGCCGGGCTGGCGGCCGGGAGAGGCCCAGGCCCTCCACCCAGGGACTTGGAGCCTGCGGCCAGGGGCCCGGTCTCGTCCCCCTCCGGGAAGCAGCCTGGGTCTCATGGCCGTGGCTCCGGGGCCCTGTCCTCTGTAGCTGCCGGGAGTGGGTGGGGGTCCCCAGAACCCGAGCTCTCGGTCTCCCCTTGGCCAGCATTTATCATGTGCCTACTGTATCCCAGCCCCGCCTCCGGTGCTCAAGAGAAAGGCAGGTGGGGGCAGCGGGGGCCAGAGCTGAGTCCCGGCAGCTGGCAAAATGGACAAAGAGGAAAGGGGGCTGAGGACATGGCCGGTGCCAAGGCCCTGGGGCAGCACGGAGCCAGGAGGCCGGCATGGCTGGAGCAGAGCTGGGGGGGCAGGGTGGCCCCACAGCAGAGGCCCAGGCTCCTGTTCGGGAGGGGGTTATGCCCCCCCCAGCGAGCCAGGGGCGCAAGTCAGCGGGGGTTCCTGCAGAGGTGCGGCCTGGGGGCACCTGGGCGCCCGCCCCTCCCCAGCCCTCGGCAGGAGCCCGGAGCCGCGTCACCCCCCACCAGGCGCCCAGCACAGCGCGGCCGCCCTGGGGCTGGGGAGAGGGCCACGTGCCCCCCAGGGCCACGCCGGCCTCACTGTGCAGGGCTGAGGCATCCGAGCCCAGCAGGGCCACGGGGTCTACAGGAGCAGCGTCTACACCGGGCCGGCCGGGGTCCAGGGCGGGAAAACAGGACCGGCAGCCAGCGTGGCCGTGAGAGGCTTCCGTGGCTTTGTCCCTTCCGTGGGGGGGGCCCACGGAGAAGGCGAGAGTGCAGGCGCGGGGGGCCAAGGACAGGTGCCAGCCACCACCAGCCTCGGTCTCCCCTGCCCACTGCCCAGGCTAGAACTGCAGGACGGGCATGTGGGGTCGGCTGTGGTCGGACCCCAGGAGGCTCTGCCGTGAACCGGCAGCCAGGCCAGGGGCTCGTGGGCACGGGGCCGGCGCTGAGGAGGGGGCGCTGGCGGAGGTCTGGGGTCTGGGGGCCGAGGGCGCGGCCGTGCAAAGGCCCTGGGGTGGGATGGAGCTGTGGGTGGCCGGGCGGGGCCCTAAGGAGCCATGTCCGGGTTTAGGCGGGCGGGCGTCCCCATGCCCGTCTGAGTGCCACCCGCTGCCTCCCTTGCTCTGTGCTGGCGCTGGGGTGGGGGTCAGGGTGCTCTGTCTCCTGGCCCTCGGCCGCCGCCCACTGTGCCCACATCTGAGGCTCTGAGGAGCTGCCAGTCCGCTACAAACCATGGAATGTGTCCCGGAGCCCGGCAGGAATGTTGGCGGGGGTGGGGCCGGGCTGGGCAGGGGCTGCAGGGACACAGGCGCCTTCTCCGCCCCCGCCCTGGACGCTGTGAGGAGAGGGGCTGGGCTGGGCTCCTGGGCAGGTGAGTAAGTGAATGAATGAATGAATGAGTAGCCGGCCCCAGTGAGGACACAGTCGGTTGGCGCCTCTGGCCGTGCTGTCTCCGAGGCCAGCAGCCGGGTGGCCGGGTGTCCACCCCTCCCCGGGCGCTCAGAGGGGGCAGCGGCCCCCGGGTGTCCCACCCAGGGGCTCTCGGGGGGCTCTGAGCTCGGCCGGGCCCAGCTTGGCCGCTTGCGCGGGGTGGACGGGGCTCCGGGCAGTGGCCATGGCAGTGGCGGGGTGGGAGGAAGTGAGGGAGCCACGCGAGGCCGCAGACGCCACGCTGGGGGGAGGGGCTGAGCCAGGCAATGTGGGGGGGTCCGCAGGCGGCGGGGGTCCACGTGGCAGTGCTGAGGGCCCCGGAGGTGGCGGGGGGCAGAGAGACTGGCGCGAGTGTCCTCACCTGGGGGGATCCTCCAGCAGCAGGAGGGTACCACCCGAATGTCCTGGCCGGGGTGGGGGCTGAGCCAGGGTGCCTGGGTGGTCCGCGCAGCGGGGCGGGGGCGGGGTGGACAGATGGGTGGGTGATGGGTGATGGACGGATGGATGGGTGGGTGGGTGACAGGTGGGTGGGTGTGGGGCGTGCAGCACCCAGGGCCGCCCGGGAAGCTCTGTCAGGGCCAGGCGCAGCGCCCCCCCTGCTGGTCCCGCCCCTCCGCGACCCCCGCCAGAGCTGAGCCTATCAGAAGCCAGGAGCCAAGAGCTTCTTCTAGCTCTCCCATGCAGGTGCAGGGGCCCAAGGACATGGGCCATCTTCCACTGCTATTCCTAGGCCGTAGCAGAGAGCTGGATGGGAAGTGGAGCATCCAAGACTTGAACCGGCACCCATATGGGATGCTGGTACTGCAGACTGCATCTTTACCTGCTATGCCATAGCGCTGGCCCCTAGATAGGTTTTCAATCCTACTTCCTCTCCTCTCCTTCTATAATTCTTATACAAATTTACCTTATTAACCTACAGAGCCATGAGATTTTCTTCATTTTGTTTCAGCCTATTTTCTCTCTGTTGTTCTGATGGTTACATTCTACTGTCGGGTCCTCGAGATCACCGGCTCCTTCCTACATCATCACCACTCGACCACCTGGCCCACTCAGCAGGTTTATTAAGCTTACTGCGTGTTTTAGTCCTATCATTTCCACTGGGTTATTGTTCTACAGCTTCTGTCTCTTGTGCTGGGATTTCCCCCTTTTTCATGTTTTTCCAGCATTGCTGTGTCAGCTACTTTAACATCCTAGTCAGAGTTCAGCCTCTGACTCATTTGGGGGTTGGCATCTTAGCTCTCTTTTTCATTCAACCTGAGATCTTCCTGGTTCTTGGTGTGACACGGCATTTTCCACTGTATCCTGAACATCTCGGGTGCTGGGAGACTCTGGATCCTCTGTGACCTTCTGTTTTTCAGTCGGCAGACCCCTGTTGAGATGTAGCACCAGGACCAGAAGAATGTGTATATCCAGCTTCCAGTGGGTCCACAGACACCACCCAGGCGTGTCCCTGGCCTCACAGCAGGTGAAAGCAGCGGAAGTGAGGCTCTTCCTGGTGGAATGAGACACTGGTTATATGAACTTCATTCTGAATGTCGCTCCCTCCTGACACCAGGGAGGAGACTTGGAGCAGGAGTGGTGGAGGAAGGTGAACTGCCAACTAGCCGTGCCTCTCCTCCCTCATTCTGCTGAACTCACTAACACCAGACAGGAGAGGCTCAGCTCCCCAGGAGGCCTCACTGGCACAAGGGCAGGAGCAACGAGCAGGGTCAACCACCCTGACCAGTGTCTCTCTTGTTACTGCCCAGGGAGAGTGAAGATTCCGTTCCCTATAGGGGCCCCCAGTGACAGCAAGGGCCAGTGGGGCTGAAGCAGGGGACCTCAGTGTGAGACCTGCTGATAAGCCCCACCTCACTTCATTAATTCTTGTTGCTGCCAGGTGGAGCTGCAGGTTCAACATGCCACCAAGAGACTCGGAGTATCACCCGCTCTCCACTCTTGATCTCAGCCAAAAGGCCAAGAAACAATACGCCTGCTCCCACCAGGTTCCGATTGTAAAAGACCAACCCTCCACCCCCCACCAGCAGCAGCCAACACCACCCAGGAGGATATCCAGGCTCTGCCTGCCTCTGCCCAGTGGAGGCTTAGGTTTTGCTTAGCTTATTCCTCCCGACTGTTTCCTCCAATTCAAAGTTGTACTTCAAATATTCCATTGTTGGAATAGTTTAAGCATAGTGGGGTAACCTGCTACAAACATTGCCAGCATCCTCTATGGGCACCGGTTCGAATACTGGCTGCTCTACTTTCCACCCAGCTCCTTGCTAGTGTGCCTGGGAAACAGCAGAAGATGGCGCAAGTGCTTGGGCCCCTGCACTCACATGGGGCACCTGGAAGAAGCTTCTGGCTCCTGGCATTGGCCTGGCCCAGCCCCAGCCGTAAGTAGCCATTTGGGGAGTAAACCAGCAGATGGAAGACCTCTCTCTCTCTCTTTCTCTCTCTCTCTCTGTAACTCTTTCAAATAAATAAATCTCTTTTTTTTCTAATTCTATGGCTATTTATTCCTGGAAGTACATGTTAGTATTTCAAACCATGTCTCTGCAGGTGTTTTGTTGTGTCATTGTTTGGTGTTATGAAACACTCATACAAGCACACTGCTATAAAATCTCTCTGTGACATAACTCTTAGTATAAAATGGCTCTCTACGTGCTTCCGCCAGTTAAATTGTATATCTTTTTGTGATGATATTTTGCCTCTTGGATTCTTTGACCATTCTTTCACTGTGAAGCATTTTACTTAATTTTATCTTTTATGACTACGTTTTTGTTTCTACTTCCACTTAAGAGTTTTTGCCTTTGAGGCTGGTGCTGCGACTCACTAGGCTAATCCTCTGCCTGCGGTGCCAGCACCCTAGGTTCTAGTCCTGGTTGGGGTGCCAGTTCTGTCCCAGTTGCTCCTCTTCCAGTCCAGCTTTCTGCTGTGGTCCAAGAAGGCAGTGGAGGATGGCCCAAGTGCTTGGATCCTGCACCTGCATGGGAGAC